CAAATACCCATACTACACAAAGGTTTACCGCTCATAGAGGAATAATATGTGTTAATTTCTATGAAAAAATTCTGTATTAATTGGTCTCCTTTAATTTAGAGTTAGTACTGGAGGCACAAACTGATTACCTTAATGTTTTTTAATGAAGCCTGTTTGTTAAACAGTTTAGTGAGATAAATAAAATATTTAACTTACTTAAAAATTATCATTAATTAGAGACATTCAATTGCCTACAATTTTTATTGTGATTACTAAACATTAATAATGCTTTATTAAAGACTTGACTCTGAAAGTCTTTACTATGCAATGTTTAGAAGTCTTTTCTTCTATATAAAACAATAAACTATAAACAATATTTCTTTCTGAATGTTTCAATATCGTTTCTGATTGGTCTTCCTTAATAAAACTTGTCTCCTATCATTCCCAGTTGCATAACTTTTACTTTGTAACCACAAACAGTTTAACTTGAAACATAGACTTAGCTCTGAGAATAAATGATATATTTTAAAATCTACTAGGTTGGTGCAAAAGTAATTGCAGTTTTTGAAATTGAAAGTACTGGCAAAACTTGCAATTACTTTTGCACCGACATAATATAAAACCATAATATCGCCACACTAATTAAACACTCTACTATATATTGTTTTCTACATAAATCATTTTAAATCTAATCTACAATATATAAGTAGAGCCCAAACTTGGAAATCATGTCACTCTGACACTCCTACATAGTAAATCCAAGTGCTTTATTCTAAACTGTCTGTATTTTGAATTCTCACTTAGGATATTGGCCTAGCTTTTCGTTTCCTTTCTGTGCCCAGTTTCTTGAAAGAGTAGTACCTAATTACTGTCTATATTTACTCTCAAGCCCATGTTGTGACTTCTGATGTCTTATTTTATCAAATCATTGATGATGAAACTCTCAATCACTAATTAACTAATGAATTACCAAGGAAAAATTTTTAGCTTTGTTAGAATGTTCTTTCATGCATTCCTTCAAATTTGCCTTATTTTTTTTCACTATTGTTTAAGTTACACATTGTATAGAACATGGTAAATTCACAACAAATTCCTTTTTAAATGTATGTGTTGCCTCTGAAATTTTTGACAAATTATACATAGAGCTCATTAATAGCAATGTCTTAATACAATCATCAACTTCCTTGTCTCCAGTGTCTTTAAAAATTTAGCATGAAAAGAGTGAACAACTAAAAACAGGGCCAGCATGATCCTTGTATGTCTAAACATAATGTAAGAAATCCAGGCTGCTCACTGTGGCTTATACCTGTAATCCCAGCACTTTGGGAGGCCAAGGCAGGTGGATCATGAGGTCAGGAGATTGAGATCATCCTGGCCAACATGGTGAAACCTCGTCTCTACTAAAATACAAAAAAAAAAATAGCCAGTATTGGTTTCGCACACCTGTAGTCCCAGCTACTCCACAGGCTGAGGCAGGGAAATAGAGGAAGAGGTTGCAGTGAGCTGAGATGGCGCCACTGCACTCCAGCCTGGCTATAGAGGGAGACTTCATCTAAAAAATAATAATAATAAATTCAATTTAAAATATGTTACATTTGTCAGAAATATAGGGATACTTAAATCATGTTATTTTTAATAACAATATTAATTTAACTATGTATAAACGTTTTTAGGAAGAAAAAGTTCACCAGGTTTTTGTTGTTGTTTTTAATCTGGATCATCAGTTTTGAATAGGTATTCAAAAACATCCACAATAATGAATATAATAAATAAACATGCAGAATTCATTTTAGTGGTATTATTAGTGCTTCCAGTAAACCTTTATCTGCCGTTTGCCCAAGATATTTAAGGAAGAATAAACTTATCAAATATAAATGTGTACTTTTTCTATCAGTTAATGTGAGCTAATAAATGCATTTAATATCTCTGATTAAAATGCATGAGTTCCCTGATGATTAAATCATTCTTGGTAATAGCGAGGTTCAAATTTTAATTACTTTAACTACTTGCTTAGAAGACTGACTTCCTATTTCCTTCTCGAATTCTACACCAGCATTTTATCCTATGGTGGGTAATGGGCAAACTTTGACATGTGTTCCGAAGGGGCTTTGTCGCCATCTTGTGGTTCATTAAATTATGTTCTGGTTTGTTTCGCTTTCCCGCTTGATCACTAAGCTCCACAATTAAAGTCAACACCAACATCTATCTTAAATTCTTAAATTCCATTCCAACTCTGAAAATTTGTAAATACATTTCCAATTGCATGCAAGGCGGTTGTCTTTTGTGTAATCATCCCATGTCCGTTTTTGTTTTTATTAATTTACCAAGCCAGTATTTGTCTCCTAGAATGTTCCAGTTTCATTCCTTCATTCCACATTTTTGATATTTGTCCACTCATCAAGGTCAAACTATAAATAATACTTCCTCCACAAAAATTTCCTGAACTCCTTTATGTCACAATGGTTCAGCGTTTGAAAATAGTTATTGTTTTTAAAGTCAGTGAAAAAGAAAACCCATAGAATTTAGGTCCTCACTTTTCCAGTGGCAATGTATCTGCTCAGCTAAATTAGAAGTATTATTCTAAATAATTTTATTATAAAAATTTTTTAAATGCACAAAAGTAGGGACAATGATTCCATGAATCTTCATACTTAGATATACAATTATGTATTTATGACCATTCATCAAATCTACGACCTTACTACCCCAGGTGGACTCTGGGAACCAACAACTGGCTTGTCTGGGAGCTTGTTGGACAAGTAGAATTTTAGGTCCCACCACAGAAGCGCTGAATTAGAATCTGCATTTCGTCAAGATTCTCAGATGATTCTTACACATCTTAAACTTTAAGAGTGTTAGTCCATAATATAACCCATTTCTCTGCTACCATTACGTTGGATTATTTTTGAAAATAATTCCAAATATAGCATATTCTCTTTAAATAATCAGATAAGCATCTCTTAGAAAGTTTTTGATGTACAGAAATAGTACTGAATTTTGTGTTGATTTTGTATCCAGAAACTTTACTGCATTCATTTATCAGTTTGAACACTTTTTGTGGAATATTTAGGCTTTTCTCTATATAAACCATGTCATCAGGAAATAGGGACAATTTCACTTACTTTCTTATTTAGATGCCTTTTATTTATTTATCTTGTCTCATTGCTCTGACTAGGACTTCCGATGCAATGCCGAATAGAAGTGACAGCAGGCACCCTGTCTTGAATGGGGAACAGAGAAAATATTTCTTTATCTTTAGTTGCTTTTCCCGAGTTGCTCGTACATCACAGAACATAACATGGCATGGGAAAAATTGATTCTCTGTGTCTAAGTATTAAGGATGAAAACAATTTATCCAGTACTCTTTTTCTTTCCTAACATTTGGACTAACTGGACAATGTCAGCTATTTTCGCGGTGATAAATAACAGGGCTATTATAGAACTAAGGTGTTTTTGGATCATTCACACTTGAATTATAGGATGAAAAATGTGTAAGTTAAAAACTTCTAAAATTTCTGTTTTCACTAAAATTTATGGTTAACCCGTAATTTTTACTTGTATTTGTGCCAATATTATGAACATTCTCCATTTTATTGATAGACAACCAGATGTATCTATAACACCATTTATATACTACACTGTTAGAAACATGAACACAACTTCTGATTTCTTGTATCCCTGCTTAGTGGGATTAACCATTGTTTGGAAGTTATGGAAAAGTGAGACCTTAATAGACATACTGAATTGTCCAATACTGTGCTACTGCTGCTTCTGTATTAGTGTCATACATTTCTGTGGTGTAATGCTATCTGAAGTCCAATGTATGAACTTTTAAAGTCATACTTACAAGGTCATTTATTTGGTCGCCCTTCAAGACTGCTCTCCCTGCCCATAAAGCATTACAAATTAAATTTTGACTGCCATATTCTTATTGGTCCTTTCGCAGACTTTAAGTTTAAAAATGCATTTTGGAAGCTAATGGTACAGACAACATCTTTGAAAGATTTTCTTTTGAATTGCAAGTTCAATCCAACATCCTGATTCAAAGAATTTAGAAATACGTGTGATCAGATGAGTTTTCTGACTTTTCTAGACTACATAAAGATTGCATAGATAATAAGGAGTACTTTCAAAAAAAGCCATATGAAGAGGCAAGAAAATAGATACTGGAATAATTTTGAAGGAGATCCTTTAACAGTGGTAATTCCAAAGTTGGTAAAAATTACAGTGGTAATTGCAAAGTTGGATATTCACCAAAGCTTAGAGATCTGAAAATGTAGAATGGCAAATCTATAATGTAATGGCGTTATCTTAGTCATAACTGTAGAGTAAAAAAGAGGAACATTTTTAATTGACTTGTTTCAGTTATGAAATTGACTAAGTCTATGCTGAATTTATAATGAGTTCCTCCATCTACCTCAGATGGAATAGGCTGTGAATAGAAAACTAACTGAGATTTTTTTTTTAAGTGAAATTTTCCCTTTACACTTCAGGTGTGGTTTAAAAGCTCACTCAGTTTATTTGTTCTGTGCTTCATACTTCTCAGAATAATTTCATACTTTCTGTGTCAGTGTTTCTCATTAAACAGCTAGATTAGATTTATAACAAGTAAAAGAAACGGAAGGTTATAAAGGCTATGGAAGTAGTATAAAATAGGCAGTACATGGAGGAGAATGAACTAAATTTCACTTTTCCTGATAACCTTTCAAGACCTTGCCAGAAATATGCCTGTGATCCATACATTTATTAGACAAGATGAGGTGAGTAAAATCAAGTCACCTTTTCTATGTATATAACACATAATTGGTAGTAAAGCTCCACAGAGTTTTTAAAAAACCGCTCTGGGTAGTCCTCTCATAGTCATCTTGGACACTAAAGTAACATTGATAGTGAAAACTGTCACCAAAGAGAATAAATTAGAAATACAATGTTTTTTAATTTCCCCATAAAGACACTATCACTGTGGGCTACTTGTAGCCAGAAAATTCTGTAATAGGTATACCACATTTTTTATGGTTTTTACTTTTACAGAAAGTGAAACTAATTCTACTTTATACAGTGACACGGTTTGGCTCTGTGTTCCCACCCGAATCTCATGTTTAATTGTAATGCTCAGTGTTGGAGGCGGGGCCTGGTGGGAGGTGATTGGATCATAAAGGTGGATGCTTCATAATGGTTTAGCACCATTGCCCCGATGCTGTTCTCATGACAGTGAATGACTTCTTATGAGATCTGGTTGTGAAAAAGTGCAGCACTTCCACCCTCTGTCTTTTGCTCCTGCTCCGGCCATGTAAGATGAGCCTGATTCCCCTTCACCTCTGCCATTGTAAGTTTCCTAAGGCCTCCCCAGAAGCTGACCAGATGCCAGCATCATGCTTCCTCTACAGTGAGTGGTACTGTGAGCCAATTAACCCTCTTTTCTTTATAAATTACCCAGTCTTAGGTATTTATAATAGTGAGAGAACAAACTAATTCATACAACTTAAAAAATGTAAACTATAACATGGAAATAAATAATTTTTTTATGAATAAAGAGACCATCCCATAGGACAGTGTAAGATGTGAGAATAATTAAATAGATGACCTTAACATATCTTAAAGGTTAAAAAAGAGTAAATCTACACAAGGCTGAAAAAGACAAATAAGAGAAAGAAGATAGGAGGAGACATCAAACATAAAAAAGACCAAAAGTCATATTAAAAAGTGTTCAACATCCCTACACATCTGGGAAATGCCAATTAAAACAAGAATGAAATTCCACCTCATCCAGTTAGAACATCTATTATCAAAAATACAAAAGATGACAAGTGTTGTTGGAATGTGGAGAAAATAAAAGACTTACACCCTGTTGGTGGGAATGTTCATTAGTGCAGCCATTATATAAAATAGCATGAAGGTCACTCAAAAAGGTAAAAAAAGAACTGTCACATGATCCAGCAACTTTGCTACTAGATATATATCCAAAGGAAATAAAATCAATCTGTCAAAGAGATAGCTGCACTTTCAAGTCTACTGCAATACTATTCATAATAGCCAAGGTGTAAAATCCACCTAAGTATCCATCACACAAAATTTTTGCTTTCTCTGTGCATATAAAAGTTACATTTACACTAATATTGTGTGTATTAACTGTGCAGTAGCATTATGTCTAAAAAAATGTACATAATGTAATTAATTTAGTTTGTTGCTAAAAAAACATGGTAACAATCATCGGAGCCTCCAGTCAGTGTAATTTTTTTTTTTTTTCTGGTAGATAGTCTTGCTCTACCAGAGAAAAATTACAACTGACTTCAATGTTTATAGCTGAAGACTGATCAAGTCAGGGTGGTGGTTGCTGAAGTTTAGGGTAGCTGAAAGCCTGTGGCAATTTCTTAAAAATCAAAGAGCAATGAGGTTTCCCACATTGATTGATTCATTCTTTCATGAAAGATTCTCTGTAGCATGCAATGCTGTTTAACAGCATTTTACACACAGCAGAATCTTTTAAAGATTAAATTAAAGCAAATTCTATTAAACTCTGTCACTGCTTTATCAACTAAGATGATGTAATATTCTATATCCTTTGCTGTCATTTCAACAAAGTTCACATCATCTTCATTAGGTGTAGATTCCACCTCAAGAAACCACTTTATTTGCTAATTCATAAGAAACAACTCTTCGTCTGTTTAAGTTTTATTATGGGATTGCAGCAATTCAGTCATATCTTTAGGCTCTAATTCTAGTTCTTTTGCTGTTTCTACCACATGCACAGTTACTTTCCACATTGAATTTGTGAACCCCTCAAAGTCATTCATGAGGGTTGGGATCAGTTTTCCAATCTTCTATTAATATTGATATTTTTACCGTCTCCCATAAATCATAAATATTCTTAATGACATCTCAAATGATGAATCCTTTCCAGAAGATTTTCAATTTACTTTGCCCAGGTCTATCAGAGGACTCACTGTCTATGGTATATGATCCAGCAACTCTGTTACTAGGTATATACCTTTATATACATTATGAAGGGCATATAACCCTTACGAAGGGTATTTCATAAGTTATAAGACTTAAAAGTTGAAATAACTCCTGGTAGATGTATTTTTAATTTCTTAAGGGACTTCCATACTATTTTCTGTATTGGCTGCAGAATGGGTACTGTGTTAACAGACATGAAAACAACATTAATCTCCTTGTGCATCTCCATCAGAGCCTGTGGGTGGTGAGGTGCATTGTCAATGAGAAGTAATATTTTGAAAGAAATATTTTTTCCTGAGCAGTAGGCCACAAAGTGGACTTAAAATATTCAGTAAACCATGTTGTAAACACATGTACTGTCATTCAGGATTTGTTGTTTAATTTATAGAGCACAGACAGAGAAGATTTAGGATAATTTTTAAGGAATCTAGGATTTTCAGAATGGTAAATGTGCATTAATTTCAATTTAAAGTCACCAGCTACATTAGCCCCTAACAAGGCAGTCAGCCTGTCCTTTGAAGTTTTAAAAGAAGTCATTCGGGGCCGGGCGCGTTGGCCCACACCTGTAATCCCAGCACTTTGGGAGGCCAAGGCGGGTGGATCACGAGGTCAAGAGATCCAGACCATCCTGGTCAACATGGTGAAACCCCGTCTCTACTCAAAATACAAAAAATTAGCTGGGCATGGTGGTGCGCGCCTGTAATCCCAGCTACTCAGGAGGCTGAGGCAGGAGAATTGCCTGAACCCAGGAGGCGGAGGTTGTGGTGAGCCGAGATTGCGCCATTGCACTCCAGCCTGGGTAACAAGAGCGAAACTCCGTCTCAAAAAAAAGTCATTCGGGTATTGACTTCTCTCCAGCTTTAAAAGTCCTAGATGTCTTATTCTTCCATTAGAAGACTGTTGTATCTACACTGGAAATCTAATGTTTAGTGTAGCCACCTGCATCAATCACTTTAGCGAGATCTGCATAACTTGCTGAAGTTTCTAAATCAGAGCTTGCTTCTTTACTGTGTACTTTTATGTTACGTAGATGGATTCTTTCCTTAAATCCCATAAACCAACCTCTGCTACCTTCAAACTTTTTTCTGCAACTTTCTCTTATCCCTCATGAAATTGAAGAGAGTTAGGGCTTTGCTCTAGATTATGCTTTGTTGTAAGGGAATGTGTGGCTGGTTTTATCTTCTATTTAGACACCAGTATTAGCAATAAGGCTATTTTCCTTTCTTGGGATACACTTGTTCACTGGATTAGTACTTAATTTTCTTCAGGAACTTTTTCTTTGCATTTATGACTTAGCTAACTGCTTGACACAGGAGGCCTATGTTGGCTTTTAACATGCCTTCCTCACTAAGCTTAATCATTTTTAGTTTTTGATTTAAAGTGAGAGACGTGCAACTCTTCCTTTTGATGAACATTTAGACCATTGTAGAGATAGTGTTAGTAACTGGCCTAATTTTAATATTGTGATAGAATAGGGAGAGAATAGGGAGGCCCAAGGAGAGGGAGCAAGATACGGGAATGGTCAGTCAGTGGAGTAGTCAGAACACACATGACGTGTATCAATTAAATTTGCTGTCTTATGAGGACATGGTTGGTTGGTACCTCAAAACAACTATAATATCAAAAATTACTGATTACAGATCACTATAACAAATAAAATCATAATGAAAAGGTTTGAAATATTGTGACAATTACCAAAATGTGACAGAGACATGAACTGAACACATGCTGTTAGAAAAGTAGAAGCAATAACTTGCTCCGTTTAGGGTTGCCAGAGACCTTCAGTTGGTAACACAAACAAACAGTATCTGCGAAGCACAATAAAGTGAAGTGTAATAAAGTAATGTATGCCTGTATATTGGTGGTTACCAGAAGCTGAGGGAGTTAGTAGGCAAAGGGCTTAGGCGATGTTAGTCAAAGGATACATAATTATAGTTAAATAGAAGGAATAAATCTCAAAAGATCTATTGTACAGCATGGTGACTATAATTAATGACAATATATTATATTCTTGAAAAACATAAACAGAGTTATGTGCTCTCACCATAGAAAATGTTATGTGCTCCATAGAAATGTTGTGTGCTCTCACCAGAGAAAATAACTGTGTAAGGTAATGCATTCGCTAGTTGGCTATGTTTAACCGTTTCACAACGCACAGTGCATATACTTTAAAACAGCACTCCCCAACCTTTTTGGCACCAGGGACTGGTTTTGTGGAAGACAAATTTTCTACGAATCAGGGGTGTGGTTGGTGGAGGGTTTTGAGATGATTCAAGTGCATTACATTTATTGTTCACTTTCTTTCGTTTTCTTTTCTTTTTTTGGGGGGTGGGGCAAGGAGTTTTGCTCTTGTTGCACAGGCTGGAGTACAATGGCGCAATATCTGCTCACTGCAACCTCTGCCTCCCGGGTTCAAGCAGTTCTACTGCCTCAGTCTCCCCAGAGCTGGGATTACAGACATGAGCCACCACACCTGGCTAATTTTTGTATTTTTAGTAGAGATGGGTTTTACCATGTTGGTCAGGCTGGTCTCAAACTTCTGACCTCATGATCCTTCTACCTTGGCCTCCCAAAGTGTTGGATTTACAGGTATGAGCCACTGTGACCAGCCTGTGCACTTTATTTCTATTATAATTACATTGAAACATACAATGAAATAATTGTACAACTCATGATAATGTAGAATCAGTGGGAGTCCTGAGTTTGTTTTCCTACAACTAGAGGGCCCCATCTGGGGGTAATGAGAGACAGTGACAGATTCTCATTAAATTCTCAAAATGAATCTCATTGAAGATTTGCATTAGATTATCATAAGGAAATCACAATCTAGATCCCTCACATGGACAGCTCACAATAGGGTTCCCACTCATATGAGAATCTAATGCACTGCTGGTCTGACAGGAGGTGGAGCTCAGGCAGTAATGCCAGCAGTGGGGATTGGCTGCAAATACAGATGAAGCTTAGCTAGCTTGCCTGCCACTCATCTTCTGCTGGTCAGTCTGATTCCTAACAGTTCATGGACTGGTACTGGTTTGTGGTCTTGAGGTGGAGGACTGCTTTAAAACATCATATTGTACACGTTAAAAACATACAATATTATTTGTATATTTAGTTTTTAAAAATGAATGACAGAGAAGCAAAGTTGTCAATTTAGCTTCAGCACTGTGCAGGAAAAATAGAGTTATTTAAAACTTAATTTTGTTGCTATTTATGACAGATATTTTTCGACAACAGAAATTTGTAAATGAAACAATTAGAGTCTGATGACATCTCATATTTGAACCATGTCAAATTGCTCTCCTTATTATAATCGAGTGATTCTAATGAAAATTTCTGACTGTGATTTGGTCTTCCAAATTGATTTTTTTA